TGGTAACTTTTTTCAAGCCCACGAAATGCTGATATTTCGTCCGTACGCATATTGTCCTCACATGACTCTTTATTAAGATTTTAAAAGTATTTTATGATTTGGTGAAAAGTTTCGTAAATTCGAGAGGCCTTGAAATGTAATACATACTACCGAGAAGAGAAAGAAACCATTCAACAAACAAACAAGTTTGTGCATTCTGACAGACGCTATCTTCTGCTTTGCGATAACGTGGTCTGCAATTGCCGTAAACGTGTCACGTCAAATTCGTCCTGCTAATAGTACCTCAAGTCCTTGACAAAGATTGATAAATTTCGTTCAGAAATAATACGAAGTTAAATATATTTTAATATTTGACAATAGTTTTGCATAGTTACAGAGTGCGTTAATACCATGCATGATAAGAAGGGAATTAAATGTAAAACTTTCCCTGTAGGTACTTCGAAATATGATTGAAAGTCGAAAATATCACTTTAGAAATACGCTTGCTGCTGAAGCGTTGAATGTTTGAAAGACGCATGGAACAGAATAATAAATTGGTTCAATGAGCATTCTTAGAGACTAGTTTTTTAATCGAATAGTCTAAAAATATTATTTCTTAATAAAAATAAATTCTCCAATATTCCACACTAAATTACTTGTACAGAAGTTGACGACATATTAATATAGTCAAAGCAGATTCCTTTATTAAAATATTTGTGTTACTTTATCTCATTCGGTCAGTAGTTCAGCAGATCTATTAGCATTTCTTTTTCTTTTTAGGCGAATGTTGGTCCTTTAAAACATTTTGAGGAAAACAAGTTGTGTTGGGCCTGAAAGGGGATTTGTGCGTTGTGCTTTCCACCAAATACTTTCTGCGCGTTTTGTGCAAAGGAACGTGTTGTGCTCGGGGACGCGCGCCAGGCATTCCTCGGCGGAGCTGAAGGGGAACCATTCAAAGGAAAGCGCCCGCCGAGAATCTGCCAGCCTTCTCACCAGCCGGTTTCCGAGCCGAAACTCTTTACTATCAAGTGGCGAAACCGAGAAATCCCTTGAAGGAATAAAGGAAGCATCAAGGGAGGTAATCGCTGCGAGTGCCGTCACAATAAATTCGCCACCAAAATAGAATTGATTGTTGGAAATGAAAGCAATTTTTAGTGGTTGTTAGTGATTCCGGGCGCGTCAATTAATAGGGTCATAGTCCCGTAAGTGTAGAGCATGTTTTTGCTCGGGAGGTGGCGGTGTTCCTCTCCACCTGTATGGTGAGATCCGGGGCCGACCGATCCGGGGTCGGCTAGCTGGGTTTCCCCAACCAGGTATCTCCCACCCGTGGGGCACCGCCCAGCCGGGACAAGCTCTAAGATCCCGACCGGTCGCCCGGCATTTGTGACAGTGTAGTGCGCATTAGTGTAACAGTGTCTAATGGGTGAGGATAGGACAAGTCAGAGGTAGGAAGGATCGCGCGCGGTCCGTGGCCCGTTTGTTAGAGTACTGCTCCGGGGGTTCGCTTGATGTTCGTCGGAGAAACCATGGAAAACTGACTCGAACCTAAATCCTCCCGGTCAGAGGGGCTGTAGTGACATCAGTTGATACCCTGAGCCACCTCACCTGGTTTTAGGGTTTGTAACAATAAACAGTTTGAAAAAGTCACGATTTCTCACTAACGTTCTTTTTGTTCGAATAATAAGGAACTGATTTAATGTTAAAACAAATCACTAAAACAACTTTCGATGCTATTTTAAGGTCACAAGTAGTGTGTATAGGACTTGAATGATTAATTATAGTGTATTCCAATTGTTTGCTCTTCCACGTCTTTCTATTTTTGGGCTTTAAAATACTTTGCTGTTAAGTGAGGAGTCTACTGTGTTCTGTATAAAAGGTCTGTTGCCCTTTAACTTCCTAAAATTTTAAAATATCCATTGAGAGCTGTATGCCATTTAATGGCGAGACGGCCGTATCATCCAGATGAGCTCTTAAGTCGGATTAATCTTCTAAAGCTTCAGCGGAAAAGACTGAAGTGACATTTTGTTCGTGTTAGTGTCTTTTAAATCGACGCGCGGCCAGCGTGTGAAATACTGTGAATTTTACATCTGAATGTTCATGAAAAGTGTCGCTGTGGATTAACGCGATGCTTAGGAATTTGACGACTCATAAAAGGTTTCCGCCTCTTCTTATCGATCGAAATCGTCGAGTGGGCGAGAGGGTCGGTCTCAGAGGTACGTTGGAGAGCGAAGCTTCCGAACTTCTTACAGATCTTGTCCACAGTTCGGGGGAAGGATATTTCTATGTTCAAGATGTTGTTTTACAGATTTGCTTTTGCAATAAATGTAGTATTGTTTCGTTGTGCATGTGTTAATTAGCATGTGTTATTGTATTTCTAGAAACAATATTTCAAGAATAATGGTGTTGAAACTTAACAATATAATAGTAGATTATTATTCAAGAGAGAGGAAATGTATAATTTTTCCTGTGGTGTACTTTTGAAGTACGATATCTACAATTACAATGAGGAAAAAGGAAAAAATTATCTCCTCTTCTAAGGTTTACACTTTGCTATTTTGTTACGGTGGCAATATTTTTGTAAGAAACGTACTTTAAAAATAATCATCCTCAATGGCAAAACTTTAACATTTTTAAATAGCATTTCTTTTGCATTAGAAATATCACAGTAAATGTCAATAAACAGCATCAGGGTAATATTGGACAAGAAAGAACAAAGGTTATAAAATTATGATCATGATAATAATAAAGCAAATTTCACGATTATTGCCAAAAAAGTCTATAAGTTTTTATGATAAAGCTTATATTTAAACGCTGAAGTAGACATAATCACAGGGTTTCTACAGCGAGGTCTTCATTTTGACCTGTTTTAGCGAACAAGCTAAGAAATGTAAACCTTCACCTTCACGCCAACCAACATTCAAATCAAAGATTTTAGTCACGCTGAACACTGATGATTTTCTAATATCTGCAAAGGGAAATTAATATATGATGACTAAGGTCAATTTGTAATAAAGTTTACTATTTGTTTTAATAAATTAAATAGATTTTTATTATAATTAATAAAAACGAACATTGATGATTTTCTCTTTAATGAAGGTGATTATTTGATGAATTTGGAAAATTTTATAAGAATTTATACTTTTGCGTACATGAATAGAATTTATATTTTTCTGTTAAATGTACGTAATCACATCGTTTCTAAATAAACAGTTGAAGAGATGTGTCGCATGTTTAATTGTTCTAGAATGTAAACATGAGGAAAACAGAGGAAATTATTTTCTCCCTAGCAAGGAACAGTTTCTTCCATAGGAAGTAATTATTTCATTTCTCTTTCTCATTTGGTCAAGTAGTTTCCTACTTTCGATCGTGGAAAAATAATTATTTGTAAATAAAGGTAAATATAATCATGAAATTGATCACTTCGAATTATTGCGAAATTAGGAGAAGCAAAATAAGAAATAACCATTTCTATTTAGTATAAGAACTGAAACATTTGAGATAAGATCTCAAAGTTAATGTTTTAAATATAAGCAAACGTATTTTGCTTTCCAGGAACGTTCAAATACTAGCAAGACATGAAAACACCCATTTCGTAATATATTTTGCAATAATTGTGTCTCGTGACAATTGTTTGAAAATTTTAATAAAATTTTCAATACTTGCTCTAATGTGATCAAAAAACGAAACAAAAAAGAAAATAAAACAAAATGGAGCTGATACGAACTTTCTTTTCCTTTAGTATTAAACTAGGGACTTGTTTCCTTAAAACAGATTCTTAACTGTCATATTTAAATAGGAGAACATGGACATCTGAAACGATCTTATTGCACTTATTCACAAATAATTAATACCGAGGAAAATGGGAGGGATTAATGTTTATCAAGAACGAAGTTTGGCCCTTTGAAAGCAGGAGCGAATCGATGTGCAACGCTTCAGCGGTGTGGACCTCGTACACAAAACACCGCAGTAGAGTATCTGGAGTTCAGTTCTACTATCTACTACATATGCCCTTTGTTAAACTTTTTTAGGGTTGATTTGAAATTTCGGCAGGAGTGTGACTAGGATTCGATTGAGATCTACAACGCTGTGCTGTATCACATAATGGCACTGACTTAAATTCTGATGGTAAATAAATGTGACACAGAAAACATTCAATGTTGAATAGTATCAATTATAGCACTCCTATTGACTTGCCTTTGAACGTATTTGAATTCTCAGGTGGAATTGGTATTAGAACAAACGTTATCAGAGTAAACGTTGCATTGGTGTCCTTTCTTACACATTAAATTAGGACAATCTTCTTTCTTCTTGTAAAACATGTTAAATCTTTTTCTCTTTTTGTTCTGCAAGTGAACACTCCAAACAAATTGATTGTAACGAAGTAGTAAGACAATTTCTTTTCCAGGCTTTTGATATCAGGATTGTATGAGAATTCTTTCGTTATCCAAAATATGTACTTTCTCAGCTGCGAAACGTTTCAGATTAAGAAACAAACAGACTTTTCAAGACTATCAACGCACACGCTGTATTCGGACCATTCAAATATTTCGCAATGAATAAATTGATGAACGAAACGCCTCAGAATCATAAACCTGAACTGAACTTCAGACACATTTAAAGTTCGGAAGAGAAATCTACTCTTCCACAAATGCTTCCACAAACACTAATAAGACGTTTAAAACACTAACAAATCATTCGGAACAATCATGTATCACTATGGACAGATTGATAATCATACACACATATACACACACGTACGAAGCAAACTAAATGTAACACATAATAACACACTTCATATGAAATACAGTAATGGGGGTCAGATAGAATACAAGTGACAAAGATAGGCCTTGGGCGAACTATCTCCGAGTGCCTCCAAACCACTTCTGTTGTATTAAGTTTCAGATTCAAACCAACTGTTTCCCATTCTTACATATTGTAATGGACATAACTTATTCGCAGAAATACTTTTAAGCTAAGAGAGGAATGTGGAGAGAAATAAAGAGAAGATATTATCACTAAGAAGAATTATAATGTGATATTTACTGCTCATTATGGTTTATGTAGTAATTTTCTTGTGGTTATACATTTTTCTCATTCTCTTAGGTACAATGTTAATACGCTACATTTTTAGATTTATTTTTTGTAATTTATAGAACGCGTTTGATGCAAGTGTAGTAGCGTACTGAAATAATTCTTCCTTATATTAATATATATATCCGCTCTTTTTAAAATAATTTACAGCCATCGCCAGTCTCTTTCTTTTTATCATATTAACACAACAGAACACAAAAAAGAAATTACAAGTTTCCTTACAGAATAATACAAGAGGAACATTATATTAGAGAAAATAAAGTGTTTTATATGTTTTTACCATGCTTTCTCACTGAATTACATCATAACGTCATCTGACTACTCCTAAGATGTATCCTTCCCCTCCTTTATGAGAATATTTGTCCTCATGGAGAGGCCACCGCCTTGAAGCCGGGCGGATAAGTTTTCGAACCCGTAACGATGTCCAAAAGTTTCTTTCGAAAATAGAAGAATTGGAAAATGTGTTAATTATTGAGTTGTAATGTGCGCCTCAAATGGCGCTCACCGGTGCATCTAATGGCGGCGTCTGCTCCTTGAAGCACCAACTGACAGACGACCTGCAACATACACAATGGGATATAGTAAACTTCGATACGACAAACGATTATTCATGGTTAAGTTTAGTTATTAAATTTAATTTTAAGATGATAAATCGTATTAACTATTATCTTTCTGAAATGACATGGTTTTGGAGTTCCACAGAAAAATGTGAATCGATAGAAAGACGGTAGGAACAGTGTTAAGAATGAAAGGGATTAGGTAAGTAATATAACAATTGATATACAGCTAATTGGAATATAATTTTATACGTACATATTGTGTATTAAAGCATGCTTACGCTCTTACTTTAAACACATAAATTCACAATAATCTGTGAATAAAAATTCATAGAACGTAACATCATATTGGTACCTCGAATTTGAGACATAAACGTCAATTTAAGGGGGAGTAGGTATTTGATATTATCATTTTTTCTTGTTGGGTACATTAATCTCCCGTCGGCCCTTTGACAGAAATTTTCGCGTCAGTCTCTCATTCTTATCAAATCTGCTTCGGCATAACAGTTGGGATTTATTTGTTTTGTAATTTGCCTTTTGATTTGTCCTCCAAACTTCTACACAAGAAATAGTTTTCACCATAAACATTGTCCATAAGCTAAATTGTTGCTAACGCGTAAGTCCCAAGATTCCCACATTGTGTTCTTTGAGAGCTGTAGACGCGTAAGCAAACAAATTCGAATGTATTATTATCGGAATGTAGAGTTAGCAGTTGCCCCTCAATTCCGAACAACTGCTATATAAAAGTTGCAAGTAAACTGCGTCTTTTAAAGGCTCTCAACACATCAAAAGGGGTGTGACCACAGGGTTACTTCCAACGTGCATCCTATCGATTTACGATAGCCAGCGCGAAAACTTGTGGGCAAGCGGGCTGCGACCTGATTCCGAGTAATGGGACATCAGATAGGCGAAATAGACAGCATGTGGGTCGCAGGCCGCCTTCATTCAAGGCAACACTCCTTCACACAGCCCCCCCTCTCTCACTGTACGCTCGCATCCCTACCATTAGGCTCGCCGCGGTATTCACGGAAGCGTAGGGTTGCCAGTTGTGTTGCAAGCTCTTATCCCACCACTTCTATGGAATTCCCCCAAATAATCTCTCCAGTGAATCAAAATTCCCCAACTTTGAAACGAAAAATATTCTCCAAATTACGACAAACGACATGAGCTATCCCTGACGATTCCATTGGCTGCCCCCTATAATTCAAATAAGTCTCTTGTTTATTTTTTATTCATAATAATGTAGAGAATAATATTTTATCTTGATTCCGAATAAAAATAACTTCCGAAAAATCCTTAAATATTTACCCGTCCATTTATGTTCACTATTTTCCCTCACAAAAAAATCCCCATTTCGGGGACAAAATTCCTCAAACGGGCAACCCTGCACGATCGGTGGCTTTCCATCACTACATCGTCAAAGCCTTGAATCGCTTCCAAAGCAATGTAGCCCTGTGACCGCAATGCGCGTAATTCTTCTGGCAACACCAGAAGCAGCCGCCCCTCTCTCCTTCTTCCTCGTCTCGAGCATTGCAGATAGGCGTTCGCGGAGGGAATCTGTTCATCCTATCGATTTACAATAGCTAGTACGAAAACTTGTTGGCGAGCTCGGCTTACGTCACAGAGGAGTGAGACCGCTTCACTAATTGTCATCTCAAAAACATAAGACTTCCTTGCTTTTCGACGAAAAACCTCGACACAAAAAATTACATTCAAATTTAATGCCAGAATGCTCACAAGAAAACCAATGAAACAAATTACGGGTCTTATCGTAACAAATCGTCTACGACTTTGCGAGATCGATGAACGGAAGCGAAGAACGAGTGGCGGGAAGGAGGGCATTCTGTTTACGTAATTCGAATGGCAACGGCGTACATGTAGTTGGAACGACAATTGAAAATTGCCTTGTACACACTGAGGAATGTTTTATGTTAATCGCATTGGACAAAGGCTGAAGACACCTTGGACTATCTTTGGACACGCGTAGCGAAGCGTCATGTTTGAAATTGAGGGTATAAATTCGACACCATTCTGCCCGTGCTGGTGCGACGCTGTAGTGTCATCGTTCCGCTAGAGTCAGCCGATTCTGTTTAAGTAAGTAAGTAACAAGGTAAGTAACAAGGGAAGAGAACAATAGAAATATAATTCATGCTCGTTGATAAGTAACAAGATCTCAAATGCCTAACGCAAACAAAAAAAATTTCTGGACAATCCTAAGTGGAATGGGGAACTCTGTTCAACTAGAGTCCCTAGATACAGAGTAGAGCATTCCGTTGTTCACTCCGATCCCACCATTTTATATCCAATTGTTTGGAGAATGGGAAGTATGTGGTACTCTGAACCATGAATGTATGTCAAACAAATATTAATATTCTCAAAAATGTCCATAACGTCACCGATTCTTATAATTTCCCCTCAGCTCGTGATTGCTGCCTGACGTGGCTATCTGAAGAGAGGCTATTAACTGACGGCGGCTGCGCTGCTCTGTGTATCTAGGGCCTCTGCTGCCCGTCCGCCGAGTGCCAAAGCGACGCCCAACAGCGCGTTGCTCACCGGCGCGGCGCGTGGCGCGTGGCGCGCGGCGCGTGGCGCGTGGCGCGTCGGCGCACGCGCCTAGGAGATGACGCAGGAGTTGCGCTTGGAGCCCGAATGGCGCTCGCGGATCTGTTGCAGGTGCTGCAGCTGCGCGGGCGACGGGATGTGCGGCCCGGCGCCGCCCGGGCCCTCCGAGATGGAGTGGCGCGGGAGCGACTGGCGCCGGCGCTTGCGCAGCGCCGGGCTCAGGTTGTACTTCACCTTCGCCTGCGTCAGCAGCTCCTTGAACACCTGCAACCGCACACACCCGTAACTCCCCCGCGACAAAACGGCCGCTGGCACCACTCGAAAAAGATCAACGCGTTTCAAGTGCTACGTGGGGGTAACGCTTAGTAACTAGTGCATCAAGGGGCAAGCATTACTGAAAGGATTCATAGAAGTTAGTTGGAGTTAATAATAGTTATAAAATGTTTCAAAATGAGTGTCGTAAAGTAACATTCGTATTTTTTGAATTGTGCGAGTGTTGTAACCTACGAACAAAGTGAAAGCGTAGGCATCCGCGGCAGAAGTCAGTAGATTCTTGGCCGTTTGGGAACGCTGATTAAGAGGCACAGTTGCCTACGTTTCGGCTGCCGTACCACGGCCTCCCTGAGGGCAAAATACATTTGGCATTGGGAATACAATTGATGCGGCGTTTTCCGGACAGCGAAAAACATATTGACTCGTGCCTCGGAAGCCTAGATTTACGTGTATGTAATACAAGAATTTGTTTATTATCATGAATATACACTTTTAAATTCTTAAACTAGTATTCGTGATTCAGTAATGGTTCTGTAGTAATGAAATGTACGTTGCACTGGATTTGGTGTGGGGAATTCGAAATTATGAGGCAAACAATTTTAATAATAACATAATTTTTTAACTTAGATTTGTGTACTAAACGCATTTAAACGACTTAAACTGAACGTGAACCGACCAAATCTTTTCTTTCTTCCTTTATGTTACGCATACTTTCTGTTTCAGAGACAATTACAAATAGTAATATCCTTCATTTTATAAATAAGTTCAAAGACGCTTTTTAATGGCCAATAATACGCTACAGTGCCTTACTTTCACCTAGAGGTTATACACTTTTATCTCCTCTCCTCTGGAGAAACAATTAATAATTGTGAAAATTATTGAGTCACAAGGAGGAGTATGGTACGCAGAGGTCGTTAGAAGAGAGGGAGCCAAAACGGAGAAGTAAAAGAAGAAGGTGGGCATCCCTGCAATCTGAGCCATGACGTTCCGAGTGGAGCTGATATTTTCTACTGGTTGTGCTGTGCCGGTCTGACCGAGAACTAGGGGGCTGGAGGATCAAGAAAACGTGCGCTAATAGTATATTACTCGGAACCTAAGTCTTTTGGAGAACTAAGTTGAGAGTCCTTGTTTTTGACTTGGTGTTTAATTTAGCGCAGTTATTACTCATTTTCTCTATTATAGTAAATCATATAATCCATTTATATTAATTACATAACTACTATTTGAACTTATCAATTGAGGATAAAATTAAACATTTTAAATTGAAAAGATCTTGATTTTGTTGTATAGCTTACAAACAGTGCAATAATCGTTTTGACGTCCATCTTTCGGCTTAGAAAAAATGATTATTCTCTGTTAAAGCAGCCGTTCGCTCACATAAGTGATATGCTAAATCTAAGAGGAGATTTTACTTCCGGCGATAGACTAGATTGAGACTTGTTGCGATAATTTATTTCATATGATTGCTACGTACAATAAATTAGATAATTGTTTAATGAAACAAAACAAAAGAAATTTGTAAGAATTTGTCATTCAAACATATTCGTGTCTCTTTGCAAAAATGATTACGCAAGAAATATTTTAAAATAAATTAAAAAAGAAATAAAGTATGTAAATACAATTCAAATCTAGGTTGATTGACAAAGAACCCCGGGGAAAAAATTCATATTGAAGCAACCATTGTTATGAAGGTATTTCGATCGCGTTTTGCGCTTACATTGCCCGCCTCAGCTTGCGTGTAAACGCCTCTTTCTGGGTTTGGAGGGGAAATGAGAGCAATATCAGGGGAAGTTGCTCGTGCTCTCAGAAGCGCCGGGCTTCCCAGACAGGTAAGCAGCTCGTTTTGACGCGGCTGGGAGGCATCGCGAAAATGTTCAGCCTTGGTAGGTGCCGAACGGCACCGCGTGGTCAACGGCGCAGCTCGACTCGTCTTACACAGGGCCAGTGAGGTAGGTCAGCAATGTTTTGCTTTCAGCGGTATATGGTAGTCTAGATCTTGAAAATGAAGTTCACGATTGTCTGGCTCTCATTCTAAAGAAATTTTATTGATAAATATTTGAAATACGAACTCGTACAGAAAGATGTTTCTGAAAATGGTAGTGTCTTGGAATTTTCGTTTTTAGTATTCCAAGATAGTGGAAAGAAAATAATCAAGACGTTAATGCGTTTTAAGACACGTTGTGCTATATAATTGCTCAATTCTTGTTTTAATCTTTGTTAATCTTACCGTTTCCTTTTTGTACAAATATATTTCATTTACATTCCGAGCAACTCACCTGGGCCACATTCACATTGTCCTTCGCCGAGCACTCCACGAAGCCGTTCTCCCAGTCCACTGTCACCACCGACTCCGTCGTGTCGTACTCCACCTGCTCATAAAATAAACAAAGTGTCTAATTCTTATATTATTGTAATCTACTAACATTGTAATATAGTATATAAAATAATGTTAATTTTGCCAGTGAATGTAATATATCTACAGCCGTGTTAAAATCATTAGACTAATAATTCGTGTCCATGTTCTGAAGTCACAAAAGGTGCTAATTTAATTTCAGAAATCATAGCAGATAAAGACAATATTATTTGCTTGCTTTACAATTTTTTATTTTGCATTGCATGTCAAAATCTTCTCTATTGTAACATTTATGAATGTCCGTAATTAATTCAAAGCCAAGAGTATTTTGTTTCATTTGCATGAAAAGTAAGTTACGATTTTACCCTGGTGTGTAATTAATCTGAGTGTGAATCCGGTAAAAAATGTATGCGCATTAGTTCCAAGAAAAATGAACCAACTCAAGATAGCAAAGTCAAGATACAGGTTGGCACCAAGACCACACTAGCAGTGGACACTGGCTTAATAATAGCCACTTCCTGAATAACCTTCAAACATTTCCATTTACGGGCTTGTCACTTGCTACAAACTAGCGGAAGGTAGAGCTTATGCCTTGTAGTGGGGCAACTAGTTCAATTATAATTTATTTTCTCTTTTCCTACAGAGTCGGTCAATAAAACTGTTCACCTCCATCATTCTATAAATGGTTCAAGATATTTCGATGGAATTTTCACCAAACGATTCAGGGCACATGGGATTCTCAGTTGTAGTTATTAGCTTTGTGATAAAATTCTTGGGACTAACTTTGTTTCATCAAATGGAGAAATATTATTTTTTATGCGAATAGGTAGATCTTGAGAAAACAAATGCAGCAATACCACACAAGTTGGAATTTGATGAATATTTACACACACAAATGAGTTATAAAATCGGCGTCATAACTTTTCGGAAAGTTGCGGTGCGGTGCTTTCCAAACGTTTCCACGGCGTCTGTCACTTGTCGGTTCTAAAGGCCGGGGAGTAAGAAGATGTCGTGCGCATTTCGTGACTTATAAACGACAAACTACTCCACGGCAGACAAGTATAAATTGGACAGCCTGTAAACGACAAAATGTATGTGTATCGCTTGAAGTGAGTGAATGACTTACAGAGACTTCTTATCAAAAGTTCAATTATTTCAATAAATTTATTTCCGTTTATTAGTTAAAGGGAAGCTCAGACCGTATATAAGAGAAAATAGGATAGTAACTTCTTAAAAAATATGTGTCAATATCTCCGTTAATAAAAAAAGTTGCAACACAGCTGGATATGCCCTTGCACGATTGTTGCTGTGAAGTACAGAAACGTATTTCTGTATGTATCACATCCAAAGATAGCTTGACCACAGCGTTTTCTTGCCAGATGAATTCACTTAAATATTTAGAGATAAAATCTTAGAATCAAACAATTTGAAGTTTTAATTCTCCTTTAAGTTTTATTGCGCTGTTTCGAGGAATAACCGTTTTCTATCTCCAGGCATTTTAGAAAACAAAAGATAATAAATATATCTAGGGATAGTTAATTATTGTTGGTCATTTAATTATGAACACTTTGTTTTGGACATGTTTGTTTCCTCCTCAGGGCTTACCAAGGTTAAGTATTGAAGAGTATTATTCAAAAATTGAACCAAAACATGATTTCTTGGATACCTGCTACAACACCGTCACCACTCTCTGGCTCAATGTTGAAGGCTGTCTATTAACAAACAGTACCGATAATTAATATATTAAAATAAATACGAACGCTAGGCGGCGCAAAAGCGCTTACGACATGGCGATCGCATAACGGGGATAAAACGTCCGACCACCTTTTACGCGAAGTGGTCGCCGAGATAATTGAATTACTCTGCATTTGAGGATCGGGCACTGCTTGAAAAATGATGTACAATTTTATACGTTTTAAAATTATTTTATTTTTTAAAGTCGCTCTTTAACAGTTTGGTTATATAGCGACCTCTGTGATTGTTTTAGGAATGTAGAAGTAGGAAAAATTATAGGAGGAACATGTTAGGACAGTACTCGAAGTGGAAGTATTTATTAACTAACCTGTTTATTTGAAGAACAAGTGGAGAGTAAAGAATGAGTTGACTATTGAACTAGTCACAAACAGTTTGGAGTTTCATACCGAGTGGTCACTACTAAGTATCTGACAACTGTAAACAATTTGCAATTTTCAAATTGTACCTTCTGGATCAAAATCGAAGAATCCCATGAAACACAAATATTTTAAGAAAAATGCGAAAACTTTCATAACTATGACACATACTTGTACTATTACTTACCCTATATATATTTAAAAATATTTTGTCTGACAACATTGAATTACTGAAATTTTGTAAAAATAATGTAGAAGAAGCCAAGAAAAAATGAAATGTCAATATAAAAGAAATGCACAGTATCTAATGTGAAATATTAATTTTATTAGCAAACTAATTCCAAATCTGAATATTAATATTTTAAATAAATAATGAAATGAAATGAAATTTAACACTAAATAAATAAAAAAAGCTTCTTGTTTTTGTAAACTACTTGACAGAACTGATTATTTACTATCAATGTGAATTCAATTTCTGACAAATATTTTATACGATTTATGATTGCTGCGTTTTCCAAGAGCGTTAATTTTACAAGCAACCAACACAATGCATTGAAGCTAAGTGTTCAGGCGTCGGGGAACAAAAACGGGCCAGCCCCCTCCTCCCCTCTCCTCGCAAAGTTTGGGAGGTGTTCTCTCAGAGCGAGCTAGTGACAGCTGGGCTGTGGATGCGAAGCGTTCAGTGTTGTTAAAAGTTCAAGAAAAGTAATGTATTTTGTGTGAAAAGCATATTTAGCATCCAGCAACTTCGCGTATGAGAAATTGAAGATATCGGCAATCTGAATCCAAAGAAGAAAACATTGTTTGAGTAAGTAGATTATTTTTATTAATTTTCTTCAAATATGCTGAGTTTTGTGTGAAGGTTGTAATGATTAATATGCCTCAAGGCAATGGTAGTTAATTTCAATTGATGATTTTTCACGTACACGTTGACAGTATTGACTGTTTTCATTGTGATGCAGACAATAATACGTCGATAATAATATAGTGCACGTCGCTCTTGAGAATTATATCATCATCCATTATCATTATAATATGATTTGCCTATTAAAATATTTAAGCCTACTAAAATATATTATTTTATTTATAATAAAAGGTATAGAGAAGAAGTGACATTTCAACTGTGCTTCCTTCTTGACCTCTTCGTTAAATTAAATTTTGAAACGTATTTAATTGTAAGACTGATAAAATATTCAATTCGCCAATGTTTGTTTTTATTAAGACTTTATCTGAGATAAACAAATAATTAATATAAAATTAGAAAGACAACAATATTTTAACTCGTTTGCATTAGAGGAACATGAGTGGGTCCCACAAATCAACAAAATCATGCACTATTTTCATTAAATTTATTAACGTTCTCAATGATCCATTAATCCAATAGAATGGCATTTTATTAATTAGTGTTTTGAATAATTTGTGTTGGTTGGCAACCTACATGAAACAGATCTGAGAGTAATGATTTACTCAATACAATAATTAGGAAATAAGTTTAATTTGTTCTCGAATTGCAAACTGTTTCAATATCTACTGTTAAAATACGTTTTTTTTATTACGAATGACTCCAGTAAAAATCTCTTTTGAAACAAAATAAATAGGAAAGCTTGATTGCATGAAGTAATAATTTAATGAAAATATTTTGTGCCTCTCGCAAGACTGCCAATTTGTATATGTCACTTATATTACTGAACTAAAATGAATTTCGATTTATTTTAATTCGCAATTACTTTGGGATGAGAGGAATAACGTTTCTCTGATATATTCTGCATATACAGCCACATGTTCAATTTTGTAAAAGATATCATTTCTTTATATTCTAAAGTTGGTAGGTAGTTACTTCGGGTTTTATTGGTAGTACGCAGGTAGGCGAAATTTGAGGGGTTCCGCAAAGAGCGATTGCAAGGCAATCTTGAAGCGCGTTGTTTGCGATGAGCGAGAAGTGGCATGTCGGCCCATAGAGAAGCACGAGAGTCTGTCAATGTCAAAGTTTCCCGTCACGAGTCGCTGATCGCGTAACTTTGCTCACTAATTGCCACTATCGAGCGGCTGCAGTGGCGCAGAAGCTGCAAGTTTTCAAGAGGTGTGCATGCTCCTTGGGGAGAAGGAAATCACGAAATACGCAGTAAGTCTGTCTCCGCGCTTCACGACAGAAGGCAAACAATCTACTACGACCAAGAAGTTTTGTACGTGGAAGTTTTAAAAAGGAAGATAACGTTTCTTTAGTTTCTTAAATAAACTACGACCTACTTATAACGCGTTTTATTCTGAATGGCTTAAATCAACTCTTCGAAATTTGTGTTGCATTGAGTTTCAATGGCTTATGAGCATTAGTACTTGATACATTTTTAATTTACTTATTTACTCGATCGTGACATGTATGAAGTTCATTCTATTTTTATAAAAACAAGAAATAACAGCCGACGTTGAAAGTCGAAGTGTCAAAGACTGGCGGGAGTGCGAAAGCATTTGCAAAGGTTGAGATTTTGAGTTCTAGGTTTGCGTAAATATGATTCTATTTACACTACGTTTCATTATCTTAATTTAACAATCAGAAGTGATAAAATCAATCCATTTCACTTGAGCTCCAACCACTATGTGTATAATAAATTTTCTGGGAAGTTCGTTAGTCATTCACATGGTCTTGCTAGCCCACTCGAGAAAAAATAAATTAAGAAAAAGTATACAAACTGAAGAGCATATTATGTCTAATATAATGTATCACTAAAAATTTAACACAAAATGGAATACAAATTATTTAGCAACACTAAAATACAAAGAAAACAGTTTTGGTGCGTTGATATGGGTAGTTAGAAGGGACAAACAAAATTTTGAACACCATTTGCGTTCAGCGACTATCAAGATCAAGCTGTAAAAACCACGAAATTGAGTTGAAATTCCGAAATTATGATTCACGAATTGGGATAATTAAAAATAGGATAAATGGCTTTAACAGGGCAAATTCGTTAATGTTTAAATAAATATATCTAATATGAAAATTAGTGTTGCAAGAGGAAACGAGATCATGGCTTTAAGGATATGACTTTTTGATGCGAGTAAAATAAAGTTAAATATATCAGTTATTCTAGAGAGATGCGAAAAATACCTGAAAACTTGAAAGTTATGGTCATATGTTCGTGCAAATGCAGGAGATTGTTGTGTTTATTTAGGATTTAATAGACTATCGTTGTTAACAAGAAAACGTAGAGATGAAATCGTGGCTGTCTAGAAAACGCCTCGTTACCAACCTTTCAGCCATTACTTCCGGAGATGCTCACAAATCAAGACCCCTGAGGCAGTAGGTACATCGAATGTCAATGTTTTCAACAAATGTTCTCGTTATATATTTTTATTATTATGAATGTAAGATTGTCAGTTAATTATAGCTTAACTGCAGTTAAAGAAATATTCTTCTTAAACTTTTCATTTTTATCTTTTCATTTCAACATTCAAACTTTTTGAATATTATTTTATAATAATACGTTAAACGGTTTACTTACATTTTATTGTTAACTATGACAAACCACACACATTATTACTTTTTATTCAGTTGATACTTAAATAATCTTCGGAACTGTTCTTAGTTGTTAATATGAATTGGGAATTTGTTTTTATATGTTGTGAATGAAATAAGTTCTTGGCTCCAATTCTGCAGGAGTCTTGGTGAAGTTATCTCTTCTCCCGCCCCCTCACCTTATGGACGCCACTAAATGCTGTCATAATACTATCTTTGTTAGGGAGTACATATCTCCTGTCAGCTAAGTTCCAGTTTTCTCCTGCTTCAGAAGTTTTAGGGTTCATTTATCTAGAAACGTTAACATAAACGAGAGGAAATATACATATGCACTGAATCAGAGATTTACTTTATCATTCACAATAGCAACCTGATGAAAACTTCAAAGCAAAACAACTAACAGATAGAAACTAATGACCAATAAGTTAGAGCAAATTAAAGAGTTAGAGAGGTAAAATTGAATTGAATATACATAAAACGATAATTTAAAAATAAATAATACATTTTCCAGCAAATGACACTATTTTATCTTTATACATTTTCAGTGCAGTGTGTTTGTGATTATTCTCTTAAATAACACCAAAACGAAGTGAAAGGATTGTAGCTTTGTAGATTTTGTGCATATTTGTATGTAATATTATATTTATGCCATATTTGTCTTGTGATGTATTAATAGTACTATCATAATTTATATTTGTTTACTACAAAAAATGAATACATGAAGGAGTGTGAATGCCCAGTTCCTTCATAAGATTTGCCTCTGGTTCGGATGCAACAGATTGCCAATAATGTAAATAAAGATCAGTGTTGTGTCAGCACTCACAATAGTGTTCGTGTTAATGAAGAAAACAATAGTTGCGCTACTGTGAACGTGTTGGGTGGTCGGAAGGGCGCTACCTCGCGGGCGTCGTCGGCCAGGTCGAGCTTGTTGCCGACGACGACGATGGGCGCGGGGGCGCCGGCCTTGGTCTCCAGGATCTGGTCGCGCAGCGCGCGCGCCTCGTCGAAGGTGGCGGCGTCGGTGATGTCGTAGACGAGGATGAAGGCGTCCGCCGACGAGATGGACAGCGCGCGCATCGCCGGGAACTCGTACGCGCCCGACGTGTCCAGGATGTCCAGCGTCAGCGACACGCCCGCCACGCTGAAGTCGCCCTGGTGCATCTCCTCCACCGTTGGCTTGTAACCATGGCGGGCCGCGCGCGCCGCGCACGCGCCTTGCGGCTCACGCGTCTCCCGCGGCGGTGGCGGCGAGCTGCCGCCTCCAACCCTCCAGCCTTGCCTTCGCGGGGTTAAATCCTCGCACGTCTCCGTTTCACTCATTCCTCCCTCCGACCCTTTCACTCATTTCCTTTTCCGACCCTTTCACTTCATTCCTTCTCCGACCCTTTCACTCATTCCTTCCCTCGACCCCTTTCACTCATTTCTCCTCCGACCCTATTCACTCATTTCCTCCTCCGACCCTTTCACTCATTCCTTCCTCCGACCCTTTTCACTCATTCCTCCTCCTACCCTTTCACTAATTTCCGTCTCTGACCTCTCAACTCATTTCCTCCTTCCGACCCCTTCACTCATTCCGTTCTCTGACTCTCACCTCATTAATCCGTCTCTGGACTTCTCACTTATTATCGTCTCTGACTCTCACTCAATTTATCTCCTGATCTCCTCTTATGTCGACTCTCACTCCATTATTTCCGTCTCTGACTCTTTCACTCATTATCCGTCTCTGGACTCTTTCAACTCATTATCCGTCTTCTGACTCTTTCACTCATTATTCCGTCTCTGAACTCTTTCACTCATTTATCCGTCTCTGACTCTTTCACTCATATATCACGTCCTCTGACTCTTTCACTCATTTATCCGTCTCTGACTCTTTCACTCATTTATCCGTCTCGACTCTTTCACTCATTATCCGTCTCTGACTCTTTCACTCATTATCCGTCTCTGACTCGTTCCACTCATTATCCGTCTCTGACTCTTTCACTCATTTATCCGTCCTCTGACTCTTTCACTCATTATCCGTCTCTGACTCTTTCACTCATTTATCCGTCTCTGACTCTTTCACTCATTATCCGTCTCATGACTGCTTTCACTCATTATTCCGTCTCTGACTCTTTCACTCATTATCCGGCTCTGACTCTTCACTCATTATCCGTCTTCTGACCTTTCACTCATTATTCCGTCTCTGCTCTTGTCACTCATTATCCGTCTCTGACTCTTTTCAACTTATTATCCGTCTCTGACTCTTTCACTCATTATTCCGTCTCTGACTCTTCACTCATTATCCGTCTCTTACTCTTTCACTCATTATCCGTCTTCTGACTCTTTCACTCCATTAATTCCGATCTCTGACTCTTTTCACTCATTATCCGTCTTCGAATCTCTTCACTCATTATCCGTCTCTGAACTCTTTCACTCATTATCCTGTTTCTGACTCTTCACTCATTATCCGTCTCTGGACTCTTTCACTCATTATCTCGTCTCTGAAACTCTTATCCTATTAATCCTGTCTCTGACTCTTTCACTCAATTGAATACCCGTCTCTGACGCGTTTCACTCCCATTATCGTCTCTGACTCTTTCACTCATATATCCGTCTCTGACCTCTTTTCACTCTTATCCGTCCGACTCTATTCAACATCATTATCCGTCTTGATCTCTTACAACTCATTATCGCGTCTCCTGACTCTTTCACATCAATTATGCCGTCTCTGACTCTTTCACTCATATAATCCGTCTCTGACTCTTTCACTCATAATACCGTCTCTGACTCTTTCACTCATTATCCGTCGCTGACTCTTATCACATACTTATCCGTCATCTGACTCTTCACTGCATCTATGCCGTCTCTGATCTTTCACTCATATAATCCCGTCTCTGACTCTTTCAACTCATTTATCCGTCATCGTGACTCTTTCACTGCATTATCCGCTCTCTGACTCTTTCACTCATTATCCGTCTCTGACGTCTTTTCACTCATTATCCGTCTTCTGACTCTTTCACTATTTATCCGTCTCTGGACTCTTTCACTCATTATCCGTCTCTGACTCTTTCACTCATTATCCGTCTCTGGACTGTCTCTTCACTCATTTCCGTCTCTGACTCTTTCACTCAATTATCCGTTCTCTGACCTTCACTCATATCCGTCTCTGACTCTTTCACTCATTATCCGTCTCTGACTCTTTCACTCAATTATTCCCGTCTTGACTCTTTCACTCATTATCCGTTCTGACTCTTTCACTCATTATCCGTCTCTGACTCAATCTCTCATTGTTTGTCTCTCATTTCTAGTTCCGTATTCGTAGAAGATGACATAAAGCAATGCGCGGCTGTATAGGTTTAAGTACACTTTGTTTTATTTGAAATGTCTGAGATTTTTTTTCTCCGTATTCCAATTCAGTGAGTTTTATGAAATATCATTTACACACTGCAGAAGCAGCTTTGGAAACTATGAACATTTATCGAGCTTGCTATTTTAGAACTTGTTTCGTTCTGTTGTGTGTGTTCCATTCAATGACGAGAATTAAAATAATTATATTAATATGATTTGACGTAAAAATATATATTCTAAAGTACCAAACGTTTTTCATCTATTTATAGATATGATAGCGATGAAAATTAATCGAAAATGTGCCTTGGTGGACGAACGCAGCAATTTTGCCATTCAGTTTTAAAGATCAGCTTTCTTGGGAGGAAAAATGTGTTTTAATGGTACCATACGGAAAAGTTTAAGAAATTATTCAGAAGGTAATATGGGAACAGAAATAATTTGCTCTTATGAAATTATCGAATTATGTAATAAAACTTACCATATATCGCGGGAATCATTCCACTCACACACATAATTTCTTCACGACTCGTTTTTCTTTCAAGAAAATATATTAAACGTGCGCTGAATGAATATTGAATATTTTTCAAAAATCCCGAGTCCCCGAGTGTTACCGTGCAGTTTGAGCAACAGCAGCAAGATATTAACTTATGTTTTGCATATTTTTCTGTATGGTATAAGGATTTTCTGTATGGTTTCCAAAACCGATTTTTCGAATAGAACCTCTCAACAATCAATAAAAAAATACAAACCGACCGGGGTCGCTATACAGTGTCCTCATGGAACGACATCAGGAGGTACAGTTACGTAGTTTTGCGGCTCTCATTTCGGTTTTTCAGTTTGAGTGGTGAGTTACAAGGGGCGGCAATCGCTTTTGCACGTTTGTGCAGGAAGACGCACGCCCGGACAATCGCACGCTTCGGAACTCGAGGTCTGCGGAGGCGGAGGGATTAAATATCCCTGGCTGCAACGCGCACTAGGGATACACAAAGTTGGTAACGGAAAAGATTCAGGAGCTCAGTTGTAAAGACTTTGTGAGATTCAACTAAATCCACTAACAATCAATAAAGGAAACCAAAAATACTGATTTATTACGAAAACCATCTCTCATAGTACAAAATTATTTTGTTTCAAGAAATAAATTAGGAAAGGGATATGAATTATAACAAAAAATACGACCGACAGAGGAGAACAACCTCTAACGACATGAAACTTCTATTCTCGTAGAAAGATGCATGTACGGGCGGGCTGTGCGCACGGCTGCTGTACGATTTCTGGGAACCTAGTTGAGCTAATTTTCGAAACCTGCACTGTTTGATTACGTAAACGCAGTGAAATAAAACGATTATCTCAAATATCAGACGTACTACATTCGATTCCTTCATGAGACGTGAAAAAGTGGTAACAATCGTAAATAGCACAAAATTTCATCTGGTTTGAAATAAAGCTTACATTTTGTACTAAAAAAAATAAATTGTGTTAAACTATTCATTATAATGAATTATTAATACGAGAGATTGATTTGGACTTGTCATTTTTGACAGATGTCTAGTTATAAAATATTTGTATTGTAAATACTAAAATTGTTCTCGTAATGCATGCTGTCATAAACTGTTGAAAATTGTATCTTCGTTAACCAGTTTATGTGATGCTGCTCATTCTCCTTTTGGGGCTCTAATTGAATGACACGGAACTTCCCCTTGGGTCAGGGCAGAAGAGTAATGAGCATTTGATTGTAGTCCGCTCGATTAAATTAATTCAAATGAATTGGGGCAGAGGATCAGTTGGGATATCGGGAGATTGATCATTTCGAGTGGGTGGGTCACTGAAAAAAGTAAACGCAGAAAATGACGCGATGAATGATGAAATGATTAATATAGTGGTAATATCAATGTAGCCATTAATTTTAAACAAAGAAACGTTCTATTCCACAGATGGTTCGGAGTTGATTTAACACAAAAATACATGAATCGACACAATTTGTGTATATTCAAACTAAAAATTTATTATTATATATTATTATTTATATTGTGTATTTTCTCATATTTTGGTACACTCATATTAATTGTACAGATTAACAAAATTAAAGCACAATCAATATACTACGTTATTAGCTCGACATGCCATTGACTAAATATATACATTTTATCAGACATTTTCGCACAATGCTTGTCTACGCACTACGGTATGCTATTGATGAATTTACATCATTATATTATATCAGCATGCGTTTATAATTCTGCATATGTTTGTATATATTCACTTGGACATCCTGATCTTTGAGGCCCTACATCAGAGTTTTAGGGATGACACATAACCAACATAACACATATTCAACATAACATAATTTTCAACATTTTCAACATTACTGGTCAAGTTTTTCATCATATTGTTTGGCGGTGCGTTCAATGAATTCTGAGTGTTTATTAATATTTTTGGCGTATTTACAATGTAGATTGCTAGTATTTGGGATATGTCAATCATCGCGACATTGTCTCTCTCTCTCTCTCTCTCTCTCTCTCTAACACCCAATCCGGATCTGTCAATCTGGTGCATCTGTTTCAATCTGTTTAAATAGTTTCGATACAAAAACCACTCTCAGTTTTCCACCACATTTACAGATTGGTACTTCAAATGTGTTATCTTAATTTCAGCGAGAAGATGAAATTTATCAGACACATTATATTTTGATCAAAGAGTTGTTTATGTTCAGGTTCAACGAATTGCGTGCAACCGGAAGAAATGTGTTAGTCTGATTCTGCACACATCCACGTTTAACAATTAGGCTCAAATACCTTCGTGTACGGATTACTTGAATGGTCAACATAAAATCTTCAGTTTCTGGGAAGATCTGTTGAAATGTAAGACAGAACTTTGACGCTTTCGTCAAGCGCATGTCGACATGCGCTTCACTAACCTCAATGGCTGTCTTTGAAGAAGAGATTTGGTCATCCATGAAACCATCTTTTGACGAGCACTGCATGTAAAGTCAGCAA